TGTGGTAAATTAAACTTAAAGATCAAAACCAAAGTTTTTGTTGGCATGTTTAAAATATTCAAATAGTGTCACTCCTTCCAAACCTGTAGGGATTAAAGCTCCAACGTTGTCCTGCGAGGAGCAGGGAGTTGGACTCAATGATCCTTATGGGTCCCTTCCAACTTGAGATAGTCTATGAACCTATGAAATCGCCCATACATTATAAAACTGTAAAACATACTTGAGTGGGGAAAAAAAAAAGTGAGGTTTTATACTTAAAACTTTTCTGTACGTTAGGAAAGACTTGACCTTCCATTTGGGCACAAGATTTTAATGTTTAGATTAACAAACAGCTGCTACATGCATGCTAGATCAGCCTCCAAAAAACTTACTTAACCTACTATTACCAGTAGGTAATAATACAGCATCATATCAATCCTCAAAAATTGAAAGATCCCAAGTACTGAAATACACAATGGGTGAAGATGGTTTTTACTGCCCTCAGCAAGGGATGGGTGAATTTACTAAAGTAGAATGGATTCAATCTTAAGGTGCTATGGCTACCAGCAGTAGCGTAAACCCTCTAGGTCAGAGTTGAGACATGCTTTTCTAATACACACTTTTTTGGTCAGGCTAGAGATCAGGGTACTGTATCCTTAAAACATGTCTTTTGAGGAATTCATTTTGCATGTTCCTACAAAACTGCCCTTTTTCATAATTTTTTTAAACTATCAAGCCTTACTTACACAGTATATAGCCTAGAAATACTTCCGGGAAATCTTAGTATATCTTTCAAATTTATGAAAATGTGTGGAATATCATACCGTAGGCATCCTCAAGAATAGACCTATAGAGGTTTGCAGAGTGATACCTAAAACTGCTCTATCGGCATCTGAGTTTCAGTTGAAAATGTTGTTTTGCTCTGACTTACTGTAATACATGAAAGTAATTAGCTTTAGTCTAAAAAGCACTTCCTGTTTAACATTCAAAGGTAGGGCTTCTTGTCTTACTACTACATTAACAGTAGTTAATTCTTTTTATTAATCTTAAAATATTTTTCCAGGAATTTGAAGCATATTAAAATAACCTTTGTAATTTTAAACAGTAAAGTGGTTTGCAGCATGTTGTGACTTCAAGTGAAGCAGAAATGTCATATCTTGTGTTCACTTTTTCACTTCTGCCTTTTCAGTATTATTAAAAATGTTAAATTATGTAATAATATTGGAAGATATTCTACCTCTGGGGAGGAAATGAATTTTTAGTAGTTTTTGACAAAGTCAGAACTGAATTGTCTTCCAAAATACCAGGTTTTTATTTTGTTTGTGTTACGTACCAGCCTTCTACAAAACAAAATAACAAAAAGTAATGAGTACTAAGGACTGAACTGAAGCAACATCAGTTGCTGTATTTCATTTTGCTTTTAGTTTTTTCAGGGATAGTGGATTTAAGGGATACCTATTTGAAAAGCAGAAAGATATATATATATAAAAAAAAATTAAATTGTTCTATGTTTTTTCTCTTTAAGAATCTTTGATTTTGTAATTTTTAATTTTTTTTAGTGTAGTAACCAATATAATGTTACAAAAGACAGTTAATGGTTCTGATGTTTATGACAGAATGGTTTTGAATGGTTCTAATGGAGGATGAAGTTTGTCGCAAAAGATGTGACAAATCTCATCCATTTGTTCATCTTTCAAAGTAGTTCTGCTTTTTGTAAAGTATCTAATGCAATTTGATCTCTGCTTTCTACTAAAAGTGCATTATAAGAAATATCTTATTGAGTTAGCCAGTTTAGCACTGTTTTTTTTTCTCCTCTGACGGTGGCACAAAGGATGCCATTTGGGAATAGCTGTGAGTTTGACCACTTCTGCCCACTTATTCCTCTCATTCATAGTTGTTGTATTGGGGATTTTAGAGGTACACACATCTATCCACTTTAAGAAGTGTTTATTTGTTGTCCATGAATTCATCCATATCCTTTTTGAACAAGCTGACATCTGCCTCCATAACTTCATCTGGCAACTTGTTTTGGAAGTTTGCTGCTTGCTGTATAAACCAGTCGTCTACCAGCTTCTTTAAGCGCCTCCAGTTTCACAGGGTTTGGTGACAGCTCTGCATTGCCTTTATCTGCTGCCTTCATGTTTTTGTTTTCCTGAACTGCAAGTGTACCTTAGTAGCCATTGTGCTGCCTTCAGAGCATGTTTAACATTTATGCTTTGTCCAGTGGCTTAAGAGGGCAAATGTTCTTATTTGTTATTACCCTGCCAAAGAAAGAGTTTATATATATTTCTGTGTGTATTTTAAGAAAAGAACATAACACAAACATAAAATATTAATAGCGCTTACTCTGGGAAAGTAGAGAATACTGCGGAATCATTTTACTTTTATGCACTTTTCATTAAGCTCGCTTCCAGGCAGTGTTGTACTTCTGAAAATTAAAGTCCTTTTGACTGGAACTTTATTATTTCCTTCTCGTTCTATTGAATGCAGGCAGGAATCTTTCTGCTTAGCTAAGGGGCCATTTTCCTAATTTGTTAACACTGAGTTTATTAAACAGTGTCCTCCTTAGGTAGTCATGACCCTCTTATCCTACATTAGGTGAAGCTGGTTTAGAAACTCAGGTCTTGCGAGTCTGTAACTTTTCTGAAGTATAAATGTGCATGAGGGTGGAAAGCAGTCCTACGCCTAAACAAAAAGTTCTGTTTATACTTTAAAGTTACTTCAGTTAACAGTTACATCTTTTATACTCTAAATGCTGATACATTGGTGGAGAGTTTTATAAGTTAAAGTTCTTTAAACTATGGTTCAAGATGAATACTGGTAGGTCAGTTACTGGATAGTTCCATTTTTCTTCAGGCCTAAGTTCCTTCAGGTTTTCCGAGCTTAACATCAAAGAACAGCTTTGAAGCCCTTTTGATTTCCACATGGACTCTAGCATGAGAGTATTATCTAGCTACCAGTAGAAATAATCAACACCTGCAAAAGAAGCCTTTTTTCTCCCAGGCCAACTAAGATAATAACTGTCGAATACCTGTTAAATCTCTCCGGGTATTTTTAGGGGAAAAATGTTTTGTAAGCAGTGGGTTTCAGTGGTTTCAGTCTAAGTGTGTGTTTGCAATGACCAATGAATCATTTCTTGGAAAGAGACCGATTCAGCTCACCTTCATACCCAACAGAACAGCGATACTGCAGCATACTGCATACTGTTTGGGCCAAGGATGTTACATAGTGGCAGGAGAGAGGTAAATGTTACGATTGTTCCTGTCACTGGAGTGAATTTATTGCATATGCACAAATGTATGCCTGTATTCTGCTACCTGAAAGGTACTAGATAAAGTAAGCTGCCTGGAAAGAATTATTACAATTATAAGTATCCCTCTCCGAATTCTTTACTGGAGTTCTCAAGACCATTTTCTTTTCCTACCTAGAAGCCTGTCTCCCTGTCCCGCAGCTGACTGCCACCAAACAAAACAGTTGGTTCAGCTCATGTCTTGCACTGAGGGGTCTCTAGGGGCTGCAGGGAAGATGAATGGCTGCAACAGCGCAACAGAATCAGTTTGGCCGGTGGACCACAGGATGAGCACTGCTGCCTTAGAAACCACTGTAAAGCCATCTTTCTAGAATGACAGATTGAATATTTACAACTAAAGAGAGTAGAGGTTTCGAAGATGGAAATATTCTGTGTTATGAAAAGTATGATTTGCTGCCAATACTAGTAATGTTAGATCCAGTTTATTAGATGTTAGAAACAGTTACAATGGGAAGTTTAGTGTGCTGAGAGTTGTCTTGGGAACAGACATGGTGTTATGTATGGAAGTTTAGTGGGGTTTTATGTGTATAACTTTTATCGGTAAAGAAGCTCTTGAAATTCTAGGTCCATTATGTTCTTAAACTATTGGGTGTCCTTTACTATTAATCTGTGCACTTCCTTCCTTGTAATGTAATTGAGAAGAGATTTGTACTTACTCAATGGAGAGTTTATACATAAAACTAAAGACAAACCTCTGCAGTACATGCTCTTGCCACCCACAGTGTTTTTCCTGTCGCTTGATTGAGCAAATACATGTGTTTTAAAGTGAGACTTGCCTATCTTCTCAAGAGGTGGTGTTCTGGAATCTAACTTATTTTCAGGAAACATCTTTCCTGATCTCTGTAGTGAGTCCTGTGTTCTCTAATAACTTTTATCCCTTTATTTAACTACCCTATTTACAATTTAGTCTTTTTCACTTTTATGTATATGACTACACAGTACTCAAAACAAATGTGACTAGTTAATCACTCTTTGCTTCTCTTTTGCTCTTCTTCCATAATTCTGGCACTGAGGCTGCGATTGTGCTTACTATTCCGCAGCTTGTCTAGTTGGTGCGTTTCTGTTATCCTCTATCTTCCTGTTGCCTCCCTATTCTGTCTTGTTGCCTTTTACGTGTAGGCATAGCTTATTCAAAACAAACTTGATCAGTTTTGGACTTGGAATGATTTGGGGGTTTTTTTCTATGTAGCAATAGGGATTTCTTCAAAATGGGAGAGAGAAGCACAGTCCTAGATGAATATAGTCTTTTATGATATAGAAGGAAAATAGTATGATTTGTTAGTAAGTAAGCTCTTCCAGAGGTTACCTGTTTAACTTAGCATGTGAAAAAGCTTGCTGCACCATAGATTTCAAAGAGGTGTGTAATACTGAATTCTTGCATTCATGTGAGTAGTTGCTGGAAACAAACAAAAAAAATATTTCTGTTTCTATCCAAGATTAATTGATAATTTGTTGATCTTGCAACTTGCTGTGTGACAAAGGTTATGTGACTTTTTTCCCTAGTTCTGAAGTAAATTTTGAAATTTAGATTAGCTGCATGCCAAATAGTTTTTGTATATAAATGTTGCCTGTTTGGTTTCTAAATGAAAACAATGCACTGCACTAAAAAGCTGTATGTAATCAATATAATTATCCAAGGTAAGTAACTTTTGTGACACACTTAATACAGCCTGGCTTTATGAATTGACAGTCCTTCTCAATGTCTTTACAGGGTGCTGATAAGACTGTGAAAGGCCCAGATGGACTAACTGCCTTTGAAGCCACTGACAACCAGGCAATCAAAACTCTTCTTCAGTGACGGATGGACTGATATCTTAAATGTCTCTCCTGTGGCCTCACACTGCTGCCTGTCTGTCACTCTTTGCATCTTCCAGCTTCTTCAGCTAAATACTTTGGGGGGAGGGAAATTCTTATGAATCAGACTAGTTAGGGGCTTGTATCAAAGATAATCTGTTTGGAGAGGGTTGAAAACTATTATGAACAGCGTCCCTCTAGGACTTCTTTTCAGTGCACAATCTCTTCCCATTTCTAGTGAAAATGGAAGAAGGAAGACAGACCATGATCTTGAATTTTTGGCTTGCAAACCTCCTAGGTTAGTACTAAGATTTTTGTTGAAAGATTCCTTTAGATGGAAGTACTGTGCTATGTACCTGAAACTAATTGTGAAGGAGACAATAGTCCCATGCTAATAGTGTCTGCCATAATCTGAAGTGTAGTAAAGTAGGTGGCTGGGTTGCTTTTCTCTTCTGTCTCAGTGGGTAGCTTTATTCTTCTGCCTAAAGCTTACTTTGCAGTTTTGAGGACTTTTGATACTAGTTATTGGAGCTGTTCTTTATATTGACTAATTGGATGTCACACTAATGTTTTTTTTGACTCTTGAGTAAACCAGAAAAGATCAGCTTGAGGCATGGTTGCGTTACACTCCAGAATATCTTCCAAGGTACTTTTGGATGCTTGAATTTGAGGTTTTTCTTTCCCATGTTTGTTCTAGTCCAGGACAGACGTTTTGAGCAACTGGTTTTGAGAGAGTTCAAAATGTCACTGTAGTTATATCCAAAAGGATTGTAAGATGAAATTTCTTTACTCACCATGTCAGCATAAAATTTATAGACACGTGCAAAAGCTACAGGCTGTTTGGTATGCAAGGATAATCAAGTCAAATGTGAAAAATGAACAGTAATTATTTAGACATTCCTATCAGGTGAATATTGTTGCTAAACTTTTCTGTAAACTTCTAGAATACATGTAAGCTTTCTAAGTTCAGGTGTTAGGAACAGGAAGACGTACAAGTAGAAGTCTTAACTTGCTCTTACTACTGGAGGAAAAAAACCTTTCAATTGTGCATATCTCTGAATCGGTGTTTCATTGTTGGCTGAATGAACCTCTTAAATTTCATTAAGATGTGGGGCTTGTTCTGAAAGTTCCCAGTGCAACCATACCACATTAACCATCGACTTTTAGATAAGATTTACTATACCAGTAAGTATGACAGTACTATGACAGCCTTGATGATTCATGGGAAGATATTTAATGATGTTGTAGGGATTCCCGTCACGTCTTACGGGCCTCAGGAATGTCTGAGCTTCTGGTTTCATCTTGAAAATTTTCATTAGACTGCTGATTCACCCAAAACCGAGTAACAGGTTTTATAACAGAAAAGTGTGTACCGCAAACTATACATCTTCCTCTTTTTTGGAATACAGATTTCAAACTTTCTGATAACATACACAATACAGAAGGCAAATGTATATAATGTCTCATGCTGAATTCTTAAACAAAAGTAGCTGATATTATTTTGATATCACTGTTGAAATTGAGAGGATATGTAGAAGTAGGCTGGTGACTACCACTCATATTTAATGGAGACTTAGTTTTACTTGAATCATGTTGCATATTATGATTGAATGTCTCAGCTATAAAAAGCCTTGCATTTAGACTGTAAAAGGAGAGCAGAAACTGATTTACATGTACACATCCCATAAGAAAAGCAATGGAGCAAACAATCAACTCTGGCTGTAAACTGTACAGTGCAATTACTCTTTGCTTCTTGGAGATGTGTGGCAAGGAAGAGCAGAAGGGTTGGAAATTGGTGATAAATCAATTGATGAGCTGCTGATGAAAGAACAAGCGTGTTTGGTGAACAGTGCTTTTAATGACTATTTAAAGAGAACTCTTTTATCTCTGATCAGTGCTGGATTGTCATGTCATTGTAATAGTGTGAACACAGACTATAGGTTTAACTCTTTATTCAGCTATGAAAGTAACCATCTTTGGCATAAATTTGCCTCCATATTATGCTATCAAATACTTAGCTATTAAAATACTAGTCTAGAAAACTGCAATCTGCTTTTATGTGGAAAACTTGATTATTCAAGTTTTTTGTGTTGATTAGTGTCAAGTTGTCTGGCCATAGTGTTTTGGGTTTTTTTTTCTCTGTATTCTTTCCTGCCCTTCCCTTCAACTCTCATTTAAGTGAGCATTATCATAGTAAAGAAACATCATCTTTGTACTAACTCTTCTGGTGATTCACTGAGGCAATTTTGCCTCCCTTTTTCTACAATTATGTGGACACCTTATTTTTTCTTACTTCACTTGAGGAAAAAAAATGCAAACAAACTGCAGTGAGACAAGTGTTAATTTGGCTGTAATATATACCCAAGCTGCCTTTCAAGATAATTAAAGGATGATGGCATTTAATGTTTGGCTAATAAAGAAGAAATACTTTTTTGCACTACATAAGAGCTGATTGATCATTTTGCCCAGGATTTAAAAAAAAAAAGTAATAATAAAAGCTTATGCTTTTGTAATTGTCTAGAAACTGGGCTTGTTCATTTGTTAGCTATATTGTGGAAAAAATAATGGGTGGCTGCCTGTATCTTTGAGTAGGTCCTAACTAGATGAAAATACCACACTGTAAGTTATTTTACATTCTATAAACAGAATTTAAATACTTTGTCAGACTGGAATCGTATATACTTGGAAATCCACTCTGTTCTTAAACCTTTTCCTTTGGAATTTGTGCTGAATAAGTTATAACCTTAAGTATATTTTGGATTTTGTACCCTCTGCTCCTTTTTCTTAAGGGGGAGCAAATGGGAAAAGGAGTATGATAGTTAAATGGAACTTTATCCTTGAACATAACATTGAATTATTTGTAGAAGAGGCTGGTAAGAATGGAGTGTCCTAGGTCAAGCAATTGCAGTGTTGCATGCAAAATTTCAAAATGAACTTGTCTTAATTATATTTTGTAAATGGATAAACAATCATCTTTCTACGCAGTGACGGAAGAAAATTAGTGCTCTGTGCATTTTGATATTTGACTTCCTCTTTTCACCATTGTTAACTGTTTTGACATAGTTGGGTTCATCATTATCATGGTTCATAGACATCAGAATGCTAAATGATACAGTATTTTTAAGTTTGTGTTGCAAGAATGAATGGAATAAAATTGAATTGTGCGATATGAGAATGTGGAGTGTTATTTCCCTTTCTGCTTCTATGTTTTATTAATCTCTGGCTACAAGTTTTTATTTGTCTGGAAGGCATCTAAGCTCCAGCTCACATGTACAGTGATTAAAATCTTCAGATACTTATAAGACATAAATGTGGAATGGAAGCTGCTTTGAGAACTGAATATATCAAGTTGGTTTTGTTTTGGGTTTTCTTAATTACAACCATTTAAAAGAGTGTTTGATTAATTTTCTAGTCTTGTGGTCTGCATTTCCTGCTTAAATGGTAACGCGTAATACTGAAGATCTCTTATTTATGTTAAATTCTGAGAGACAGTTTGTAGATAGAGGAATGTTCCTCCCATTACCTGTGAAGACTAAAGCAATTTATTGTCTCCTTTACTTCATCAAAGAAACTGAAACAGTTATTTACAGAAGGAACATCTGAAATATAAATAAAATGTGTATTCATTATTTTTCTGCATATTTACAGTGACTTTGTCCTGTTATAACTTTGCTTGTCAGTAGAGATTTAGACTCAATTGCTTGAATCATTTGATATGATTTATTTTAAAATACACACTTTTAAAGAAAAAGTATGGGAAGGTGTTGTGTCAAAGTGGGAAAACTGTAAGTATGGGAAAAAATATTCCAAAAGAAACTTAATTTGTCTGTCTTTTCTGTGCTAAACTTTGAAAACAGGGCCTTCTAATGCTGTATGCACAACCTTTCAGTCAAATATTGGAAAAAAGAGGGACATGTTTGTCATTAATACCAAAGCAATTCAAACAGTGTGATGGCTAGTGGCAACTGATGTGTGTGCTTCAGTTCCTGTATTCATCTTATTGGTGTTTTGTTTGTTTTTTTAATGGACAGCTTTTCTGTAGAAGTAAATACTAGCTAAAGTTCAGAACGCAGATTTCTTTCGCTCACATTCCTCAGCGCCTGGCTAACCAAATTCATCTAAACATGTAAACGCTTTTCCTAATACTTGTTTATGGCTGATCTTTTGGAACAAATGGATTTCTCAGCCCCCTTCCAAAAGGAAGTTGGCCCAAGGAAGCAATTTTTTCAGTTGGATCACTTAATTGTTTCTCTGTTTTGAGAAGCATATTCTCAAAGCTCTCCTCAAAATATTGTTGTTCTACTTATAATCTGACATGTTGGAACAGCTTTCAACTGAGTTATGGCATAAACTTACTAGATGCATTGTTCGGAAAGCACTTTATGCTTTTGAAGCTTTTCATGAAACATAGTGTTTGCCTGCTTGGGAAGTGAATGAGCATTTTTCCTAGGAGCAGTGCTCCTCTCTCCCTGCCTTAGCAGTCAAAACAATGTTTCTATTAATTTTAAACTAAGAAAAGTTGCATTTAGATACCATTGCTTGCTAATGTTAATTTGGAGAGCCTTCTTTCAAATAGGAGAAGTCCTGGAATCTCTTGATTCTCCACTCTTCAGATTGCATTTGGAATGCACCTGAGTGCACGTCTCTGCTCTCCTGTGTCCTAAATGTCTCTGTTTTCAGGAATACTGCAGGCTGCTACAGAATACAGGATTATTTTGTACTCTTCAGTGAGTTCCTGTTTTCCACAAGTATACCTTCATTTTGCAACGTTTCAAAATGATGAGTAGAGGCCTTCCTTTTCATGCACTGAGGTTCATCTCATGGCCATTAAAGTTGAGAAGGAGAACAGTGTGACAAAACCCCAGTAGACTGTGTGCCTCAATTTGTCTGTCAAACTTACAATTCATTAAAGGAAAACTTCTTTCAGTTGTCTCAAGCTGAGCACAGATTTGAAGGATCCAAAACTCAGTCTCAGAAATAATTTCTTGACCTACAATAAACTCATTTGGTGCATATATAAAATTATTTACTTTTGAAACATTCCTTCATATGTCCTTCTTACCGTTTTCCTCTAATTGAAAGTAATTCCTCGGTGCATTCAGAAGAAACTTCAGTTTGTTCACCAAAGCTTTTGTTTCAAAGTAAAAGAAACCATTTTCTAGTTTGCATCAATGTTTAAATATTTTGCCTCAAAAGTGTTTGGAGGTGGGAAGTCTTGAAAAGTATGTAGCTTTTCATGGAAATGAAGTTATACTTCCTCTTTCTTTTTGGAATACACTTCTAATTAAGAAATTTAGCCTTTTCTTTAACGAGTGGTGTTATATTGTGACAAAAATCCAACCACCCATTTCTTTTTTTATTTATTTTCAGTGGAAAACCAACAGATATATACCAGATTGACACAAAATGTCTTTTTTTTTTTTCCCCCCTTCCCACTTACCAGTGCAGTCACCAAACCAGATCAGTATTTGCATGTCCCTACGTAATGATTCAACTTGGTTTCTGTTTCGAGTGGGGATATCCCTGGGAGACCTGCATGATGCCCTCGACTTTTGTAGTGTCTCCTAATACATTCTAGCACAGGGCAGATGTAGAAGTTTAATTAGGACTAAGATAAAGACAGATATCTGAATGCGATTGTTATTACCTGATTCAGTTTCTGCAATGCAGAAGACTTCCCAGTATCTATCTCTTGGCATGCAGAGAGTGCAGATAGCTGCCGTTGTTAAAGACTGTTAACCAGTAATTTGTCATTATACTGGATAAGCTATGGCCATTGTAAAATGGTAGTCTTCTAGAAAGAGCAAATAAATTCTAGCGTTAGGTTCCAAAAGTCTTTCCTAAAGTTTATTCTTGTTACTTGTATAAATTTTATTTTGTGGTTTTTTTGGTCTTGCATGTGCTTTAGGAAGCTTCCTAAAACAAGAATGCTTTTTAGCTTTCTTTCATTGCCCTTTTGCATAAAGCAAAGCTGTAACTTTACCTTTTACAACAGAAATGTCTTTTACATTATTTTTAAATGAAAAATGTAGCTAATGTTTGTGTGTTCTTATCTATTATATAAGAACAGTTGTGCTGAAGGATACTTCCCAACTATATTTTTGACAAATTGCTATGAAAACCTAGTCCTACACCTGATACCAATATCTACGTGTAGGCAAATCCTGAACAGTAGGCATAAACAGAATATGGGAGGAAATGTTGGAGGTTTTTCTTTGAGGCATTGGATGAGATATCATTAGAACTGGGATCAATACAACAACAACAGATTTGTTTTGTGACTATGCACAAACCTCTCTGTATTGCACCTCTTAATAGGAAAACTTAACTTCTTTCCTTCTTTTTTTGTCCACTTAGCCTGTAAGCTGACTGAAGGATTATTTCTCAGTCCTGACACACCTTTAAGGTTTTTCTGTGTGTTTTGCAGTCAGTGTCAATAAACTTCTCAAAAGTACAGAAGAGCTTATTTAAAGAGAGAGATGAAACAGATGGGAAGCACACTAATTTCTAGTGTCAGAGGTTTAAAATGTAAGAACAAAACCCAAGCTTATAAATTAATGAAATTTCTGAAGATAGCTATAAATTAAATATTTACAAAGCCATATTAAACAATGACTTGAAAGAAAAAAGACCCAGCCTACAGCAATAAAACTGCATAACCTGTATACTTAATAAGGAGATGCTTCTAAGGCTGTGTTCTCACTATAAACAGTTGGATATATATTAGCCATTCTCTTGTCTATTTGGAAAAAAAAAAGAAATTGGTACTTACTTAGCAGATGGTTGCTTTGGGGAAAAAGGGATTCCCTTGTTCCCAATTTGCAAAGCTCAGACGTTGGGTTTGAAGTTTTTTTTACTGTCAGAGGTGAGATTTAGAGAGATGTACAGAGAGTCAAGTGTACTATAAATTAATGTCAAAATTTCCCTGAGTGGTTTCTAAAGATCATGTTCTGTCAACTGCATTTGTTCTCCACATGCCAGAGCTGACGTGTGACACGTGCTCCCATTCTCTCACCTTTACCTGCCCTTCCTGAATGTACAGCTTTCAAAAGCTGTACTTTACCCCATCACAGCTTTCTCTTTTTAATAGGTGCCTAGAAAGTAGGCAGAGAACTTGTTTGTAGATGTTACTAGAAAATACTCCATCTAAGGCTGTGTGTCATCTATAACAGGAAAGGAGGAATTAAAATCACAGGAGGAAAGACTGAGGAGAAATTAAGTAAGTTAAAGACTTTTCCATCCTATCTCCTTGCTACTACAGGCTTGTTCTCCATGTTAAATATTATGGTAGTATATCCTATTTCTTTTTTTTTTATCAGATGCTTTATCTCCTTACTGCTTTTCTTCACATTAGATGTACACCGAGTAGTTGTAGGATTGGAATATGATTTACTTTCTCCTTGTTTTTTTTTCCTGAAAGCTACTGGAAGACAAAGTGGTTGCAAAATGCAGTAATATCAATGGTGCCACAGAGATCCTTGGTGCTACCCTGAAATAATGTGGATGTAACACAAGTGTTTTAACCTGCACATTGGGTGCTTGACACCCTTTTGACTGCTTCTCTCATAATGCTACAGGTTGGTAGGAAGAATTTGTTTCAACCTTTGGAGCAAGATAATTTTCTTAAACCTGCAAGGTACTTAATTTACATACTGAACTGCTGATGGTTAACACATGATGCTGACAGAAATAGAAGACATCATGTGTGTTGTGGTCCTACTGCTTTTTACACTGTAGCTGGCCTTGTGACTCCAATTTTCTTGTTAGTTGTGATACTGCATAATTCAAAATATACCTGGGCAAATGCACCCCTCCAAGATTAGACATTTTAATAGCAGGATGACTCAGCAACAGACATTTTAATTAACTAGACAAAACGGTATGGTAAAGATCAGGATTTAAAAGACCAGCTGTAATGCAGAAGGGTGAAAAGGCAGACCTAGAAGCCAGAGAGGAGCTGGAGTAGGCTTTGCAGTATTTTAGAATTTTGCACCAACAAACAAGGCAGGCAAGTGAAGGATATAAAAATAAGATCCCATAGTGACCAAGTAGTTTTTCATAGACCATTTTCTATTTCGAGCTCACTTCTTCACAATTACCATTGGAGACAAAACACTTCTCAATAGCAATGATAAGCCACGTTCATAAACATCTGAGCTTCAGACTGGGAGCGTG